GCCCAGGTGCGTCAGGTGCGGCATGGACGAGTGGTGCAGCAGCGTCCGCGTGGGCTCCTCGTCGCCCGAGGAGCCGGAGGGCGGGCGCGGCCGCAGCGGGCAGCCGGCCAGCGTGGCCGCCAGCAGCGGCGCGGCGCTGGCCTGCGCGCTGAACTCCATCTGCGGGGCCACGCCCACGCCGGCGGACAGCGCCGCCACCTCACCCGAGCACAGCGACTCGGTCGACGACACCGACCCCAGCGGGCTCTTCACCGCCTCGTCCATGGCGGCGTCCGACCCCGACGACCACGAGCACGACGCGGGCGGGGACGCGCTCGCCGCGCTGTCGTCCTGGTCGCAGCCCCACATCTGCTGCTGTTGCTGCTGCTGTTGTTGCTGCTGCTGCTGTTGCTGCTGCTCGGTCATCTTGAAGGCCAGCAGCTTCTCGGAGTGCAGCGTGTTGAGCGTGCGCAGGTCGGGCACCTTCTTCATGAGCTCGAGGCAGGCGGCGGGCTGAGACGGGTGGTTCTGCGCCACGACCGCCTGCAGCGCGGCGCGCAGCTTGGCCTGCATGCGCTCGATGAGATCGGTGCTGCGCAGCCCCGGGCGGTCGGGGGCGATCACCACCACCGCGCAGAAGAGCCCCACCTCGGCGTCCGACAGGCGCAGCGCGTTCAGGCGCTCGGCGAAGTCGAACATGGAGTCCATGAGGAAGCGCGCGTTCGACGACGAGTGGATGGCGTCGCGGCGCAGCACTTGCCCGTTCAGGCAGATCATGCTGTTCGTCTGCAAAGAGCAAACACAACCGTCAGCAACCCTCTCCCTCAATGCGCGCAGAAACAAACTTAAGGGAATGGGGAATCATCAACCTATCCTCAACCAGTTTCCCATCTCCACCACGCTGCTTTACACTAATATCCTCATTTCCTTAATTCCATCACGTTTTCGTTCCCATTTCGCAATAAATCCAAATAACCGTGAGATCCCGACTCAGGAGTAAAATGATCGCATTTCACACATATGCTTCCTTGTCATTCGAGACGAACTTGACCGAGAGCTCTTCCCAGCGCCCAAGTGCTGCTGAGTCATCGGCCCGAGGGATTCCGCGAAACACACGCGCTCGCTGCACGCGACGTGACTCAGCGCTGCTGGCCACGCCCCAGGCGCCCAACACCAACTCAGCGGAAGCGCCCCACAAACCCACAAAACAACGGAGGGGAAACTCTCCCCAAAACTAAAGGTATACTTTGCACATGGATTGTGCAGTTACTGAGCAGAAAATGTTATAAAATCATAGGCCAATACGACTGGCGTGCAAATTTTCCCAAATGTGAAAAAAACTTTCTGCTAGAAAACCTCCTAACATACGGTTCAATCCAACTACATTCCCGATCATTTATGGGATGGGTTGGGGATGGTTGAAAGACTTCAGGCTTTCGAGATATCGTCGACACTCACCTGCGAGTCGAACATACAGGCGAGGCGCACCAACAGCACCTCGAAGACGCCCGCTTTGAGGAGCGTCACTTGGTCATCCTGCGGCAGCAGCGAGAAGCCGGGGATGCGCTTGGCGAACTCGACCACGCCGCGGATGGCGGGCGAGAAACGCTTGGAGAAGTCTTGCAGGAGCTCCTGCTGCCCGGCCAGGGGCTGCGTGTTGGGATTCAGCGGGCACGCCTGCAATAGACGAGACGCCGTTCAGCTTCGGGCCCTTCACTTCCATTCCATCTCTAACACATGGCGGACTCTGCTGACGTTAAGCATACGCGTTAAACAATGATAGGTGTGCGGGTGCGTGCGATCTCAACTTCTGATATAAAATAACTGATCTATCAAAGGGGACAGTCAGAGCGAACAGTGACAATTCGATTTCGACACGGTTACGAAAATAATTTTCATTAAAACGTGATATTTACTGCTGCTGTGTGGGTTGAAAAAATTAGAAGGTAATTCCATCTGCAAATATTAATAATTGCTAGTCCATTCAATACCATATTTGCCTGGTTTATTCCGTTCCACAGAACCTTTATTTCAGAAACGCCGGCGGATGTCCCCTGCCTTATTTTGGACGGCGACCGAAAGGCCGAAAATCGCGGAAGGCGGAGCGGAGAGAAGGGCGCGGAGGGATCGCGGCGGCCGCCCCGGCCTCTCCTCTCTCTGGCGCTCCGCCGCCATTGACGAGCTCCTCGTCGCCTCGCAAGAACAATCGAAAGTCACGCGCTATTTGCGGCCCCATTGTCCGCGCGCCCGCGGCCTTGCGCCGCCACCCTGTCGCCGCGGCAGGCGGACCGCAAGGCACCGGAGGACGGAACCGATCGTAGCGAGCACTCGCCGGCGAGGCACGCGCACGTTTCCTGTGCTCGCGCGATAGCGGCGGAGGCGCGGGACAGCGTTTGGCTGGGCGGGCGTGCGCGCGCCAGCGGTCGCGCCAAGGCCGCCGCGCGAAGGTCGCCGCCGCCAATCACCGCTCCTACCCCTCGCCGCTCATCCAAGCGCTTGCCCCCTTCTCCCCACCCCACTCCGAGGCTCCCCGCCCCGCGCGCCGCTGACGACTATTCCCGAGCTCGATGCCGCCCGCTTAGCTGCAGCCGCCGTTTCTCGCGTATCGTGCCGATCGCACTTCAACGTCCCCCCTGTAAAGTCCCTTACGGGCGCATCGAATTCGCCACATGGCGTCCACCGCGGGTAATTTCTCGACATCACGAGGCGAAACTAAAAATAATCGCGGTCACGTACTTCTGTTCTCCAGATCGGCTCGTATTTCAGACCCGTGCTTCAACGCGTTCATCATTATTCCGGGCGCCGAACGTCGAGGCGTCGAGTTATTGGCCCGAGACACGTAAGCAATTGAGGCGACCTTGGGCGTCGAGGAGGAAGGTGGGCGCCGGGTCGCGACTACTTCCGGCCGCCCGCGCCTCGAGGAAAAGGGAGCACACGCTTCGGGCCCGGCGCAGTGCAAAAGCGCGCCGGCGACCCGGCAGCGTCACTCCCCGCCCCGCCCCTCCAGCACGGCCGCACAAGCGCAGCGCAGCGGAGCGGAGGCCGGAGGCGGGCCTTGGCGCGCCTGGAGGTCACCGCGGTCGCTCGCGGGGCGCGGGCGGCGGAGGCGGCGCGGGGGGCGGTGCCTTCCGCGTCCCGGCGGCAGCTGACGTCACCGCCGACGGTCGATAGGAGGCGCCAAGGTCAGCGGCCGCGCGCCGCAGGGTCGCCAACCCACGCGCTATAACTGGCGGCGGCGGCACGAACTCCGCGAGCAATACGGGATGGACGGGGAGTGTTGAGTAAAAAAAAAAGTCTTGATAATCTCAGACAAGTCGCTCTTCATTCCGAATGATAACAACTGAGTTAATTTGTAGCCTAAACTGAAGTGACGGCATGTGTATGTTATCAAGTACTTAAGACGTACTCCAGACGAAAAGATGAACGGCTACTGGCTTCGCTTTCGGCCAATTCATCCCCACAACGCAATGAGATTATTTATTTATTCATTCAAGTTAATTTATTAAATTGAAGTAAAAATCAAATTAATTTATTTTTATCCGTACGCAACACCAAGCAGAGTCCATCAGTGCAAGAGAAATATTTTTTTAATTATCACCATCCACGACGACCACGTTTGCTTGCTAATAAGAATATAAAATTGAGGTGTAATATTAACTACATTTATTTAAAATATCCATAGAAAGATGCTAATTTAGAAAATGTCTAGACGTCTGGGGAATCTGATCCGGCTCTCTCCATTTGACGCGAGAGCGGAGTGGCAAACGTGGCCGGCGGGGCGATTGAATGAAAGGGAGAGAGAGGGCGTACTCACCAGCGTGGCGGGGCAGGCGGTGTAGCAGGGCTGCTCGCGCGCGCGCTGCAGCAGGGGCGCCACCTTGTCGCGCGTGAAGTCGCAGGTGTCGAGGTGCGCGCGCACCACCGTGGCCAGCAGGCGCTGCTCGTCCTCCAGCTCGGCGGCGAGCGCCTTCTCGTACGAGCGCGAGTTGGAGCTGAGCTGCATGGCGGCCAGGATGCGCGCCTTCTCGCGCTTCGGCACGCGCCCGAACCGCACGGCTGCAACACACACACGCCACCCCAACGGTCACTCGCGCGCTCTCGGGGCGGCACGCATGCACACCACCTCACTCATTCATTCATTCATTCATTCATTCATTTCCAGAGGAAATGCCCTCGTACATCAAGCCAATAGCACCAATCCATACTGTGTCAAATCACCTTAACATTAATGTTCCAAGATATCACTGATTTCAATACGTCGAAGGGTACATTTTATGATAAAAATAAAAGCATCTTAAAATACGTAAAAGTAGATTGGGTCATATTCTTTACTCACATAAGTAAAAAAAACCGTCATTGAAGTTATCGTTACGGAGGATAGCAAAACCGAAACATGTTTCCCATACGTGTATCATTTTATTACCATACACTAATTTCAATAAGCGTTTTACATTTATTTCATGTGATCCCAATACCCACATTGTGTACATCATCGTGGAGAGAAATCACAGCATGGAGATGTCGCGAGTCTCCCATCTTCCATGCCCATATATTGGAAGTGTCCCCCATTCCGCCC